TTTTAAGTTTTAACTTTATTTATAGATAAGACCTCACTAGGGAAATTAGACCATATTTTGGAATGAAGATAAAAACATGAGATAACAAAATGTATAGGATATCATCAAAATAATAGAGGAAAAATTACATTTTCTTCTTTATTACAAAATAGGAAAAGTCTCAAAGCAATGACATTAGATTTTCAAACAGAAAAAAAAATATCCAAAGTACAAAAAAAAATCAAAGTAGTAATCAATGAAATAGAAAATTTTGGGAGAATTTGACAAAAGCAAAAGCTAAATCAGTACCCTTCAATGAATATAGGTGCAAATGTTTTATACAAAATTTTAGCTTATTGAATCTAGTAGTATTTTCAAAAGAATAATGTAATTATGGCCAAATTTTTTTCTAAAGTGTGCAAGATTGGTTTGATCTTCTAAGAACATCTATTTACAGTAACACACTAAAGAAAGATTGATAGGCACAGAAAAAGCATTTAACAAAAATCCAAACATCTTTTTCCTGATAAAAACTCTCAGAAAGAACTGAAGGAAATTTCTTTAACCTCTTAAATGTTACCTGAAAAACCTATAGTTAACACTCTTAATAATGGGAGAAAAACGTTACTCCCACAAACTAGCAGAACAAAATAAGTTTATCTACTCTTAGCACTACTATTCAGCATTCACCAGTGGTTCTACTCTGTGCAATAAAGGTCAAAAGCTATAATAAGCATCCATCTTGGAAGGAAAGAAAAGTAAAGCTGCCTTTATTGCAAATGATGTAGAATATCTATTAGGTTATCTATAGGGAACCTCCCAGAACGAATTAGTGAGTTTAGCAAGGTTGCTAAGATACAAGCTCAAAATACAAAAATCAATTTATATAGAAATAAAAAAGTACCATTTATAATTATATCAAAAAAGTCATATTTAATATATGAATATATTCTTTTGAATATATATTTCATGTAAATCTGACAAAAGTTATAAAAAACCTGTACATTAAAAACTATAGTTTATTGAGAGAAATGGAAGAAAACCTAAATAAGTGAAGATATATATTGTGGTTACTGGTAAAAAGACTAAATATTATTAACTTGCCACTTACCTGTTCCCAAATTAATCTGTAATCCAGTGTAGTCCTGATCAAATCCTTCCAGACATTTTTGTAAAAATTAAACAATTACTCTGAAATTTGTTTGGAAATTCAAAGGACCTGGAATAGTGAAACAATTTTTTAAAAAGACAATGTTGGAGAGTAACACTGTCTGATTTCAAATTTTATTTTAAAGTTACACTACTCAATGAGACTGTGTCGTACTGGTATCAAGGTTATCAGTGAAATATAATAGAAGGTCCTCAGATAGGGACAAATTTATGGACTACTTCTTTGATTCATCTTTATTTCGTTGTATTTCTTGTTTAAAGTTGTTTTTATATTAACTTGTATTTTGGTAACTATTTTGAAGTGAATGTAGATATGACTAAGTTTAGAAATAAATCATTCCTGTAAACTCATACCCATATTAAATTTCAAATGAACCCTGTTTTATATACACTTCTAACTAAATTGTTAGGCAGAAATAGAGATTTTCAGATGATTAATAGAAGTTCTCTGGACTTATTTACACTGAAATTTTGTGAGTAAAAGTTTTGGTTGAGTAAGTCTGTGCAAGCAGAATAATTTAGAATAGAAAGGTGCATAATTACAGCTTAAATTATATGAAGGAGTTGTGAAAGAGTTAGATTTTACACCATACTATTTTACACATATACCAGCATCTAAGGTGAAAGTAATCTTGAACATAATCTTGAAATTCTTAATATGACTTGTTTTTCCAATTCTGCAGAGTGTTTATAAATGTGACTTCCTGAACTTACAGCTTCAGCAACCACTCCAACTTGCACAGGATGCTATAGATGCCTTTTTGAAGCAACTGAAAAACCCCATTGATTCTCTTCCTGGAGAACTTTTCCATGTGGTTGTTTTCTCTCTTCTCCTTTCTTATTTTCCATCACCTTACCAGCGGTGGATTTGCTGCAAGAAAGCTCATGAACTTTTAGTATTAAATGGGTTATTGCTTATCATCACACCTGATTCCTCCCATCAAAACCGTCATGCTATGATGATGAAAAGCTGGAAGATTGCTATAGAATCCCTGGGCTTTAAACGTTTCAAGTATTCAAAATTTTCACATATGCATCTGATGGCATTTAGAAAAATCTCCCTAAAAACCACAAGTGACTTGGTTAGTAGGAACTACCCAGGGATGTTATATATTCCTCAAGATTTCAACAGTATAGAAGAAGAGGAATACTCTAACCCTTCCTGCTATGTTCGATCAGATATAGAAGATGAACAACTAGCATACGGTTTCACAGAGCTCCCTGATGCTCCATATGACTCAGATTCTGGAGAAAGTCAAGCCAGCTCTATTCCTTTCTATGAGCTAGAAGATCCCATATTACTTTTAAGTTAATGTAAAACAAAAGGTCCTTTCAGTCCAGACTCCCAAACTAATTCCTTACACTAATCAAAAATACTAACATGAACTCAGTACCTAACCTGGTTTGCATAGAAGAAATGCAAGGGTTTACAGAGTTTGCTATTTTTTTCTACTTCCGGATTTTAAAATTTATTCTTATATGGAAAGCTTAAAGTTTCATGCAGAATGACTCCTGTCATAGCAGAAACCACTGTTACTGTAGCATTTAGCACTAAGATATCATAGAAAGGTACCTTTTTCTCTTTAGTGCTATTGTGAAAAATGAAGCATAATTTGCTATGTCTTTTTTTTTTTTTTTGATCTTTTCAATGTTGAGTTTAAACCATTGCATTGAGAAACTTCAAGATATGTAGAAAGCCGTAGATTGCACTTTGATGACTCACAAGTTAAATGTGACACAGATAGATTGGCTTAGTTGTTTTGTGATGCACTTACTCTTTTTTTCTAACTAAATTGTTAATCTATTACAGAAAGCTATTTTCTGTTCAGGTTTGTCTGATGAATCCAGTATTTCTTGAACTTTTTTGGAATGGATAATTCTTTTTCCTTCTTCCTTGCTCATTTGGCAGCCTCAGACATTGGGGCAGAGATTTCCCCAGAAGTATATATTCTGATTTCATCAGCACAGTACAGTAAACACCATTGCCAAAATAGAATTTTCATGTATTTCTTGTTGATTTAGGCCATGGTGTTTAGTATATTAAACTGTGAGGGTTCACTTTTACTTTTTTTAAATTTAGGTTTCATTTACAAGATTTTCTATTTAACTGAGGAACGATGGAATATTCGATTCTGACCTAAAACACCTTTGTGAAGGGATTTGCACTTGTAAGAGACCAATTTTGCATAGGGTTCTCACCTTTCTCTTAAGGAGGTGCTGCACTACAAGTCTGGAATTATATTAAAAATTATTAAATTAACCTGCTGGTAATCTCATAAAATGATTTTGAAGTTTGGTATTCTAATTTTTGCCTAAATCCTAGCAAAATTTTTTCTTTGAATATATAAACCATTAGTTGGCTGTGGGAATTTTCCCTTTCCACATTGATAAATGCCTTTCTGTGTTTCTGAATCAGAAGCAAATGATTAAGAGAAATATTTGTCCAAACAAGACAAGATTAGTTAAAATAGCTAAGAACATTTAGTCCTCATTGTCTTGTCAGCCAGCAATTGTCATGTAAACTATCATTTTTAAGAGTGCCACTGTGTGGATTTTTTTTTTCAAGTGGTTATTACATTAAAATTACCTCATACTGAGGTTTTTGCACTGAAATATCACAATTTCAGATTTCATGGTTAATGTTTTGTGCGTGTGTATGTGTGTTTTTAAAGAAACTTGCATTTTCAATAGTTGATCTGAATTTCATAAACTGCACTTCTTTATTCTGATGTTTTTGTGCTTATTGTGAATTGTTGTAGTTAACTTTGACTGTCAAACTTTATTTAGAATTGCAAAATTTACCCATTGAGATATAAATTGTTGTGTGTACCCAATATCTCAAATTAAATTTCATGTTCTAAATTAATGGAAGTAACAAGATTGTAATTAATGTCAGTTGACTGACTGCAATAAATATGCCAGAAGTAACTTGAAATTTTTCATTTACTTTCAATAGCGTAAGATCCCTTAATAATTACCATTGACTTTTCTTTTCAAATAAGCACTACAGGTCATGTCTTATAACTATCCCAAAAGAAAAAAAAAAACACACTGTTGAAGGTAATACAAAACTTGTTTTGGTAATACCTCTGTAACCATACCATTTTGGTTTTGTTGGTTTTTTTTAAAAAATTTGATTTGATTAAATGCTATTTTAAGGGCAAAGAAAACAGTACATCAAACAAAAGTGCTTTGAAAGTAAATGAAAACAGCGCTTTGTAGAAGCTGGTGGAAGAATGACCTTGGAGTCAGCCTTTGTGTTACAGCTAAAATGTTGGTGCTATAAATTCTTCTGATTGTTTACAGATGTCTATTCTGCATATGCTCCAAAGTGTGCATGATGTATTTTAAGTAGTACTTTAAAGAAAAATCTCTTTATAAAACCTACACCCACTTAGTATAAATTTGTTTCAATTTATAAGTACCATTTGTTACTGTAAATTCAGCTTATTCAAATTAGGTTGGCACAGGATTTAAACTAATACATATTCCACCAAAGCCAATTCAATGTATAAGTGTTAAAATATAAGCAGTCATATGGCTTGATGCCAGATTATATATGTTATGACAATAGAAGTTAATAGAGTCTTCTAATACTGTATGGGTACTCTTGAGAATGATTTTATTTGAATATGAAGAAGTTAAGAGGCCTCCTGCTACATTCACAACAGGATCCTCCAAGATAATTTTATGTTTCAAAAGCAAATGATCATCTGGTTGGATTCTTTAGGATCATGACTGGATCAGGTGGTTTATATCATAGTTGCTAAGTGATGGGAGGCGGCATACCTGAAAAATGTATGTTTTTGTTTGTTGTATTTTTTCACATTTTGTGAACAAAGCACATTTATTAAAAATTTTAAATTTTCTAATACTCATTGTCTATTATAAACTGAAAGTTTTGTAGTCTCATATCTCACTAAGTGATTTCAGAATTGAGAAGCAAGTTAGTACTTGACTTTTAGAATTTCCCAGCTAACCAAATTTTTTAATTATAAATTCATTCACCGAGATCCAGAGATGTTCAAGTGACTTCTCCATTATCATGCCTTTTATTGAAGCACCAGGACAACAACCAATACAAATTCTAGTTCATTGTATGTCAAACATTTCATAATCTACTTTTCTTGAAAGTTGTTTACATCAGAGATGATAATTTTAGGTAAGTATATCATTTACGTAGGGTAGCAGATGACTTCTCATGTTGTGAAGAGTTCTTTATTCATCAAACAAATATTTGGATCCTACCATGTGCAGTATGCTGGGAAACAGCAGGGTTTGGGGTGGTCTCAGCTTTCCTGGAGCTTATAATTTTCCATGGAGTTAATATTTGTATCTAGGACCGACTGCCCGCTTTTCCTATACCTTTGCTCTTAGCTTTTAAGTACCTTGATTTGTTCCCCCAAAATGAAACAGGAGGCAAAAAAGTTGTAAACACATAAAATTGTCTAGAATATTAGAAACATATTGTAGATAAAGTGATGTATTGTTCATCCCTCTAGAAAAGTGCATGCTAAAAACAAATTACCTGATTGTAAGATGGGAAGAATTCTCTGAGCACTGTGATGCAATGGTATTCCTCTTTAAAGAGTCTACATGCTAAGCAGAACATAGATTTAAATTGTGGTTTCTTCTTGGTGTTAAAAATAGTGAGATGATAGCAAAGGTGGAAAATAAATTCTAATAGTCCAAAAAGTATAATATAAATGCTTATTACAAGGAATGTTTGTAATTTTATTCTTTTAAAAAACCTGAATTCCGTGATAGTTTGCAATAAAAAAAAATATTTCCATGATGCCCCAGCTCCCCAAGAACATGAATATGTTCTTACACAATATGTAATAAATACGCAGGCTACAATAGTTAATAATTTAAGTACCTATCGTGTTAGAAAAGGTGAAAAAAAGTGTTGGGTTTTCTAAACCCTATTTTGTCTTAATAAAAAAATTCAAACCTCAATTAGAAAATAGTTTAGTGTGCATTTTTCAAGTAAAAAATCTTTTATGTGGCAATATGGAATAGTAACTTAGCATAAGTTTTAGCATAGATGTTCGCCTAAGTATTGTTCAGATTGTTTTGAATTTTATTTTTAATCTAACACCTTGGCTCCTTAGAAAGCATTCCACTTTTTGTACTAATATAAAGCACTTGTTAATGTCACTGTTTTCAGTTATCAAAAACATTGGTAACTGTTTTTGCAGCATAGATTTTAACAATTTCTAAGATTAAGTCCGTCTGCACTATAAAATTAAGTATGCCATAAAGGTACCTACTTCTGTGTTTAAGTTAAAGGAAAATACATGGAATTATATATCTCAAAGACATTGACTGTAGAATTGTTTAATTTTTTTAAAAGACTTATTTTTTATTTATACAATAGCTGGGATACAGGCCAGAGGCGCGGGAGGGTGAGAAGATTCACCAGAACGTGGGGAGCAGAACAGGCAGACAGACCCAAAGCACTGCTGAGGGGAGCAGCAGTGACAGGAGAGCGGCAAGCCGGGAATCGAACCCGCACTGCAGAGGCTGCAGACAGCTTCACAGCGCTGTGTTCAATCTGCTGCGCCACCAGGGAGGCCCTCTTGATTTTTTGTTAAGTCTCAGCAATATCACCACTGCCGCCTGAGTTAGATACTGGGCCAGTGAGCTAACCCACATGGCGCAGGAGATCTTTCTCACCAGCTCTTCCCTTCAGCAGTGTATTTCAGTAAATCATCCTGTTCTCCTCCCCATTCTGTCTCTGATGAAGTCTCTCACCCCATGCACCTCTCACCTACACCCCAGTTCTTCTACACAAAAATAAATCTTTATTTTAAAGGAGGCTGTAAAACATTGAAGGCTGTAAAAAATGTGAAGCATTTGCACATTGAAGCATTTATGTTTATGTAAAACATAAAATTGTTAATATTGTGTAAGGAATGCTCATACAAATCCTAAAAATAGAGAGCATTGCTCAAAGGACAACCATGCCTGATAGTATTTTATGGATCCATGCCTACTGCAGTTTTTTTTACAGAGAAATGCTAGGAAAATAGACTTGGATTCATGTGTTGCATATGTGTCATATCTACTGAAGGCAGTTGCATCCAAGCTAATCAGTATTGTCCTAATGATAGAATTCTTTCTATAATCCTTTGAGCTGGTGTGAGGACTCATATCTAGAAGAATATGATTTGTAGTCACAGACATTCTGTATATGGTTATTACAGAATCCACATTAGGTTATTTACATTTTCATCCTCCCTAGTCCTACAAATCTCTCACAGTTAGCTTTATGCCTATTTCCTTCAAATTACATGGCCATGGCCAGAATTTCTCTTTTCAAATGCCTGGCCTATCACACCTCTGCTTGGATGAGTTTGCAGAGACAAGCTAAAATAACATAGAGAAGATGAAGTCAATAATGATCATTTTATAAATACCAAATTACCACAGGCCATTTTACTAGGAATCCAAGAGAGAATATTTTCCAAATTCAGGTTTTGAATACAGAAGATGTGTGATTGCTGGAAAAAAGAGGTAGGTGGGCCAAATTTTTGGATCCTGTCTGCAACTGGAAAGATGCTTAAGAAACAGAATCTGAAACAGAAGGACCAATGTCATGACTAGAAGGAGCTTTATGTTTTCCAATCCCATTGAAGCATTTGCACAGATTTAAGTACCAAAGTGTAGGTTATTGTGAAAACAGTAAGGACCTGGGAATTTGAAAAAAAGGTAACAATAGAGAGGAAAGGTGATGGTCTGGAGCTTGTGTAACCAGCCCATTGGAGTGAGGAACTACAGAATAAGAGGATGTTATAAAACCATCTCTTCAGTTTTGTTTATAGCTGGACACATGCTAAAACTGTTAATACCAGTATTACAAAATTTGAAACAAGTCCATTAAAATAAAAACATTTTCCTCTCTAAAATTTCTTATGTATAAAGAAGCAGAATCATTTTAACATAATTAGCAGAGACAGTATTACACACAAACATAAGTGTATAGTGATACTTCTGTAGATTAAGTTCACTTCCCTATGAATATGAAGGGTGAAATTCATAAGAATGCAAGCAGATATTGTGACAGGTCATTTAGTCATTACTTAGAAATACCCTTGGAGTTGTTTTGAACTCATTCTACTGGTAGCTCAGCTCTGGGCCTTGCCAATCCAATGGGCTTTTGCCTAGGAGGGGTTGGATGATTTTGCAATTTGGAATTCCAAATTCATCTCTCTCTCTCTCTCTCTCTCTCTCTCTCTCTCTCTCTCTCTCTCTCTATTTGAGAGTTAGTGGGAAGTCAGTAACCTCTGGCAAAGACTTCTTGTTATTCCATATTCTCCCTTTTTTTCTCTGGAAGAGAACTCTAATTTTCTGATAGGCATATGGGCATCCCCAAAATTACCAAGAAGTGTTATAAAAGTGGAGGTGAGGAATACATTCATCTCCTGTACTTCCGCCTTTCTCTTGATGGGAATTCAGAAACGATAGCCTGAAATTACGCAGCCATCCTAAAACAGGAGGAGGAAGTCCTGAGAATAGAAGGGCAACAAGAGAAAATCAGGATCTTAAATACCAAGGAGAACCTGTTCTGCTCTGGAACACCTATTTCTAGACTTTTTGTGAGAGAGAAACTGCTACTAAAACACTTAGTAAATTTTCTGACACATGTATCTGAACCTACTCCTTTCTCAAAACTGGGTCCTAATCTTAAGAGCATCTGATTAGGTATATCTTAAAGCAGGATCTAATAATTTCTAACTGTTTCTAGCATGCAACTGGTTTAGCGAATGCTCAATAATGGAGGTGATAACTGGGTTGTTCTTAATACTTGCTTTACATTGGACTCATTGGGGAAAGCAATGAAGAGGATCTTTAAACACACACACACACACACACACACACACAATCCATCTAGGACTCACTTCAGAGGAAACGAATTGATCTGGGATGGGTCTGGGATAGGTGTAGGTTAAAAATGGATGTAAAACAATGGCACTTCATTAATTAAAAGAAAAAAAAATCTTTCAATTGATTCTAACTGTGAATAATGGTAATGAGACTGAAATATGTGTGTTCCCCCCAGAGGGAAGTGATATTTAGAAAGCAGCATTATTTATCTGATGGCCTAGGTCTTGAAGGCAGAAGACTGAGGTTTAAGCCCCTGCCCTGGGACCAAGTAGTTTCTCTAGACCTTGGTATTTTTTTTTTTTTATCATTTATTTATTTATTTATTTATTTATACAAGCACTGGGTACAGTCAAAAGCACGGGAGGGTGAGAGAATTCACCAGAGCCAGAGCGGGGAGCAGAGCAGGCAGAAAGACGGAAGCACACTGCTGAGGGGAGCAGCGGGCGGCAGGAGAGGTCTGCGCACCATGTGGGACCCTCCTCTAATGGCCGGGGAGCAGCCTGGGATCGAACCGGCGCTGCAGAGGCTGTGGGCAGCTTCGCAACCCAGTGCTCAGCCGCTGTGCCTCCAGGGAGGCCCTAGACCTTGGTATTTTGGATGGAAATATTTACATCATCAGTTTTTTTTTAAGATTGCACTAATTTAAAATCCTTGTGATCTCATAATATAGAAAGAACACAGGAGTTGGCCTAGCACATCATCTATAAATAACCTGATTTGGTTTAACTTTAGAACTGGAGTGAAGAAAGAAGTAGGAGAAAAATAAGAGGGAACAAAGGAAGAAATAATGTAGGACTCATCTGTGACTCCCTGCCATAGAGGACTAGCATACACAGTACTATTTCTCATCCATTTCTAATATTGCAGGTTCTGTCCCCTCCCCCTTTTCTTGATTTTTTAAAATGCATGATATTCTCAACAGGTGTTCCTAGTTTGAAATAACTCCACTGGGTATAACTGCTGGCCTGAAGCACACAGAATTTGTATGCTTAGAAGCAGGTGTTAAAGAATAGATGTTCTAGCTATAAGGATCATTGTAGTGCCATTAATAACTTCAGCTTGGAATCTCCTGTCCCTGGAGTGGTTACCAAGTGACTGTTTTATATCCAGGCATTTAACCGTGGATATACAGATGTCAGGAACTGACCCTGAAACCTCTGATTTCAGGATAAAGACAACCAGTCACACAGGGGTTTTGATCATATCCTGGAAAACCTCAGGTACCAGACTAAAGAGTTTGGACTTTTTTCTATAGCTCATAGAAGTCACTGGTTTTCATACAAGAAGTGACACAGAATGGTGCTCTAAGAATATCCATCAGGAGTCCAGTGTGATGGATTAGCCTGGGATAAGGAAGACATCTACAGCAACAAAAGTACAGGGGTTACTGAAGTAATCAGGGGTTAGGACCTCAAATAGGGTGGTAACAATGGAAGGTGAAAGGAAATGATAAATGCAACAAATACAGCAGATGAAAATAAACAGCACTTGGTGTTCACAGTTCTTCGGTTCTTTTACTAAATACTAGTAGCTTTCAACAACTAAAGACTCAGAGGTACTTGTGGTCTCCCTTCTATTACACTCTGTTCTTACAGTAAAAGCAAGTCTCAGAATTACACGTTTATCAACAAGCAGGAACACAAAACAGTACACAAACAACATTTCGTGGTAAGGTAGTAAACAGCAATATAGACTCAGGAAGTCATTATGAAAGGTGTCAATTTGCTAGATTCAGCAGATTTTAAAACCACATTTATGCAAGAAGTGCCTGTACAATATTCTATCAGCAACAAACCTTGAACACCTGTTTTTTCCACAATGAAAAACTATTTGTAATGCTTTATGTTAATAACATATCTCTAGTGCAGATTTACATAGTGATATTGGAACTACTTGTGCAACCCATATCGTAGTGAAAATTTCTGATTAGTGTCTTTCAAATGCTAATTATTACCCACCCTGGAGTATGCAGATTAGAGTAATTCTCGCACATATGGTTTCACTGAAGTACTCTAAAGTATAGAAACAAGATAACCTGTGTCAAAAATAGAGTCGAGGACACTATGCAGAGGATCACATTTGAGGAAGATAAAAAAGCATTGCTTAGGGATTGGGGTCAAAATAAGGGGATTGCAATTGTATGGGGAACATAAAAATAAAATTTATTTAAAAAAATAAATAAAATGTTAAAGTGAAAAAAAAAAAAAAAAGAAAAGTAGCTTTATAGTCCTGATGTTAATTTCACCAGTAATTCTGGTTTGACTTACCTGGGGATCTCCTAAAATGGCAATCCCAAAAGTGAGTTTCCTCTTTTGTCCTCCGCTTAAATTTTGAGCAAGAATGTCTTGAATATTTTTCATCTCTAAGTCCTGTAACACTCGTTGTACCTGAGCAAATAAAGGATTTTTATTCCAAAAAAAAAAAAGCACTGCTTAAATAAGGGATCTCTCCCACTAGGTCTGTACCCTGTTATTATTGGTTGGAGTCCCTTGCTGTGTAGATTCAATCCTCCATTTCCAGCAATTCTCTAAATTACCCAATACCCTCTATTAAATTTCTGCTCTGCTTAAATCAGCCACAGCTGTTTTGTTCCTTAGCACTAGATCTCTCATCATCTATACTGAGGACTGTCAATATAGAGTGTGTAATCAATACAATGTGCTGAAGACCCCCCACCCACAATTTATTAAATGAAGATGAATAAATTCACACTATCGGGGAGATAGAACAAATATGTAGATAACACTAAAAAATATATAGATAACACTAGTAGAAACAGGAGGAGAGTACTGGATTGCTGAGGGTCTATATTATGTACTGGTATTTTATTTAACAAATATTTAAGTGCCAATTGTGTATCAGGCACATGCTAGGATAATTTAATGGTGATGAAAAATGAGTATGTCCCTGGATTGGAGGAAATGAAAGCAGGCTGGGTGCAGAAGTGCGAGAGGGGGGAGGGCGGGAGTGCGAGATCAAGCAGGAGGTCATAAGGGCCCAAACTTCACAACCATTTGTGGCTGTTTTCAGGATTTTGTGCTTTATCCCAAAGGGTGTACATCATCTGAAGATTTCAAGGTATTTTCCACATATACCATCTCATTTAATCCCTACAAAAAGCCTGTCAAGTAGATACTATTAGCATCATTTACATATGAGGAAATTGGGGCTTCGGAGATTAGTCAACTTCCCCGAGCACAAGCGGTAGAAACTGATGGTGCGTGTAGAGAAGGCGGGCAGGGAGTACGGGCTTCGTGGAAAGGGAAGGGGAATTCATACTTTTGAAGCAGGCGACAGAGCTTTGAAGGCGAGCCTGGAGCTTGGGCTTCGGCTGCCCGGCGGGCACACAGCCACGTACTAGGCCCTTAAATTAGCGCGCTGCGACGCCTCCCGCAGTACCTGCGGCTTCCAGGTGCCCGACCCGCCCGAGCTGCCCCAGTTTCGGTCCACGCGGAGGCGGCGGCCTAGACGGCTCGACGGCCACAGCGAGCCTGCTCCGCGGCGGCCTCCCCGCACCCCGTTCCTCGCCTGACCCCGGGTCCCGGCCGGCGTCCCAGGTCGGGGCAGCCCGCCCCGCAGGTGGGGCTGTCGGCTCTGATTCAGGGCCGGGCGCACCTGAGCGCCGGCGGCTCGGCGGGTTTAGGCCGAGGGGGCCGGGCCTCCGAGAGGAAGCGCGCGGGCGCTTTGACCCCAGCGGCGCTCCGTACTCGCGGCCTCGGCGCGGGAACATGGCGGCCGCGGTCGAGGCGGTAACGGAGAAAGTTTCCAACGAGACTGGCCTGTAGTGAGTGCGTGCGGCTCGGGCCCGCGACCTCCCCCGGCGTGCCAACTCCCGCTTCCGAGTGGAAAGCTCATGCCCAAAGGCCCTCCCTTTACTGCGTTGGTTCCAGAGCCGTTTCCAAGGGTTGAGGGCGTTGCTGGCGGCGGCCGAGCGCGGTAAGGGGGCTAGACGGGGTGAGCGGCGGGGCGGCGAGACCTGGGCACGAACACCGCCCGGGACGCCGCTTGGTTTGGGCCGCGAGCTCCGCCCAGCTAGTCTCCCGGGGCGGGAGTAGGGTTACTGGCCCCGGGAGAAGTGGAGGGTGGAGGGCACAGGGTAGAGGGTGGAGGGCTGGGGTTGAAAGATGGAAGGGGGCGGACGCCTCCGGGTATCGCTGCGGTTCGGCTCTCCTTGGGCGTGGGTTTGTGGTCGCCTTCTCCCTAGTTGAAGGGTACTTGAGAATAGCCAGGCCTCGCGTCCCTTGGTTAGAGGAAGCCGAATGGAAGAAAAAAAATGCCAGTCTGCTGCCCTGTTGCTGAGGAATTTAATGTTCGAGCTGCAGTTCTCGTGTGACATTGGCAAGGAATAGCCAGGAATTCTTAGAATTGAAGCACTGGAGTTTCCCGACCCAGGCTGCCCTTATGGTTTCTTCAGCTTTTGATACTTTCCCCTAGATGGGACAGAAATAGTTCCTTAGTCGAAAGCTGATGCAAGTGATACAGAGTGTCTTGGACTCCTTAGCGAGCTGTTCCCTGGAGGAAGGGCATGGAAAAGAACTAACAGGTTTAGAGTTTGGATGAATTAAGTGAAGGCTGGAGGGAGGCCAAAAGAGAAACAAACCAAATATTCATGGGCTCTACCCCTTTCGCTCTACTTATTTAGTTGTGGACTATTAGAAAAGTTGTGTATTCTCTCTGTGTGTGAGTGTCCAACTGGCATTGTTATTAAATGTAGTTACTACTGTCATTAGTCTTCATTTTTTTCAACATGTGTTTGTTGCTTATCTGCTTGGTACCAGACTTTCTGCTAGACATTGGACATGCAGTATGGAAGACAAATTTTCAGCGACTTTGCAGGCTAGTGGGGGGAAGGCAGATAGATATTAGTCAATGACCATGATTTTGCTGTTAAGGGGAAATATGGGGATCACCTAGTCAGTGATTTCACCTGGAAATGATTTCACCTGGAACCTGAAGACGAAGGAACAAGGAGTAAGCCAGGTGTGGGTACTAGGTCGAAACAGGTGGAGAAAAGGCATGCTGGAGAGGGAAGAGCATTTGTGCAGATCAGAACTGAAAAGGCAGTATGACTGGAATACAAAGTTGAAAAGGTAGTATGGTAAGAAATGAGGTGAGTTAGTCATGTCAATGTGCAATACCTTACAAGGCATTTAAGGAATTTGGACATAATTACTGAGGGTGATGGCAAATCATTGGAAGGTTTTACATAGCAGAGCAACATGACAAATTTTGGTTTTAAAAAAGGATCTTCTTGGAGAAGGGCAAGAGTGGATACAGGGAGATATTCAAGCAGAGATGGTAGCCAAAAATCAGTATGGTGACCGTGGGAATGGAAGGAAGTAGAAACATTTAAGAGATATTTAGAAAGAACAGTGAACAGGACTTGATGAGGATTAAATATAGGTGGTGAAGGTTAAAGTTTATAGGGTTTTATAAAGTAGACTCTAGCAGTTGCAATTTAACTTTCCCTGTATACATATGGACTCTTCTCCATTTTTATCTGCCTCTCAATTGCCCATTGAATTGTTAGTGATGGCAGATCAATTGAAAAAGATGATGTTTTATGAAGAAGGTCACAATGGGGAAAGACTTTTGTGTATTAGTCGCTTAAAAATAATTATCTTCCATGTTGGTTTTGGCCCATAAGACAGTGGCTACATTTATTCCATTATTTGGATATGCTGTACTACTTTTTTATTTACATGTACACATTTACTTTGTCTCCAGATCATTTTCTCGATTAACAGTGCAGAAAGGAGCTAATTTCAAATTTTTCTATAAGGTAGATTAATATACGTGTGTAATTGGGGAGAGAGATAATAATTAGAAATATGGAAATGGTTAAAGTTAATCTTAGAAAGTGTATAGTGATAGAAAAGCCTAAGTTTGGGATTGAACATCCAGGGGATGATTTGAAAAATGAAGGGCACTCAAGGAGCCTTGAGAAAACGAAACCTGTGTTTTAGGAAGAGAATCTAGAGACTGGTCTTTGGAAGCTTAAAGAAGGGTAGGTGGGAGAAGTCAACAGTGTTAAAGGGTGTTTGAAATATATGATGGATAATGAATGAAAACTGCCCAAAGGATTAGGAATTTAGAGATCACTTCAGAACTTGGAAGAATATTTTGTTGTTGTGTGGTGCAAACCATGTAGTGGAGTAAGCAAATATTAGGTAAGCTAATGGAATTTTAATATGAAAATGACTAAGAATTGTTTTTGTTTGTTGCTCCTATTTCTGGGTTTTTTGTATTATGTAAAAAAGATATTTACAGATGTTTAAGTGCTAATGGATAAGGGAAGAGTGAGGGTTTGAAGAGAAGAGAATGAAGTTTGAGAAGATACAGAGAAGAGAGAGAGTTTGACTGAAAATTGAGCCTTAGCTAGCAAAGTGACATCCGTCTGTCCTGTGTCAGGAGACATGGAAATGGGTTGGTGGTATTGGAATCTCAAGTTCTGCTGGATGCAAAGTCATCTGTTAAGAATTCGGTGGCTGTCAGAGATTGGAGGATGGGGAAGAAAGATTTGGGTAGTCAAAGAGAATGAGAGAGAATTGATCAGGAAATAGAAGACTCATGAATTTGAAGTGGCAACATTTTAGCCTGGTGTGTGTGTGTGTGTGTGTGTGTGTGTGTGTGTGTTTGTTTTCATTCGTGTTTAGTACCATCATTCCTTCGAGGATTTATAGTCCAACATATTTTTTTTAAAGATTTATTTATTTATGTATACAAGAACTGGGGTATAGGCCAGAGGTGGGAGGGGGGTGAGAGGATTCACCAGAGACAGAGTGGGGGACAGACAGGAGGAATGACTGAAATACACTGCTGACGGGAGCAGCGGGCAAGTCAGGAGAGGTCTGCTGCGCCCTATGGGTAGCTCCCTGGCTGGGGATTGAACGCATGCTGCAGTGGCTGCTAATAGCTTCATAGGTTGCTTCTTAACCCCTTACACCACCAGGGAGGCCCCCAACATATTTTTTTAATGATTGTGTAACACACAGGAATGATATTTTTTAAAAACCAATGCACTCTAGATTTTCATTCTTCAGTAAAGTTTTTCATTCTTTTTTTTTTTTTTAGATTTATTTATTTATTTATACAAGCACTGGGTTCAGTCAGAAGCACGGGAGGGTAAGAGAATTCACCAGAGCCAGAGCGGGGAGCAGAGCAGGCAGAAGGACCGAAGTACACTGCTGAGGGAAGCAGCGGGCGGCAGGAGGGGTCTGCACGCCATGTGGGACCCTCCTCCTGTGGCCAGGGATCCAACTGGCACTGCAAAGGCTGCGGGCAGATTTGCAGCCTGGCGCTCAACCAGGGGAGGCCCAGAAGTTTTTCATTCTTAAATAAAATAATAAGTCTAAAAATGTACAAAAGGAAGATGTTTTCTTTAATAGTAGTATCTTAAGAAAATTGAAAATGTGAAGATTGAAAAGTAATTTGAAGATAGTCACTCAGTTATATAGATTTAGCTGTAGAAAACATATTGTTGAATATACAGAAGTAGAATTAGTAATAATGCTAGGAACTTCCCAGAGACCTTAAATCGACTGACATTCTTCTCCAGCCAAATGGGTAATTAAGGGTTAATTTCAGGTTATCTTGTATTTTTGTTGTCTTTATTTTAGTGTCCTACTACTGAAATATAAATAAGCTCATCACAAGCTAGTTACTTCTTGAATTTTTATCTGGTTGTGTTCTCCAAGAATACTGAAACAGTACACTAGAAAATTTTAAAGAATTAATCTAATAGATAATTAAGTCATTTTTTGAACATTGTCATATTTTAATTGTAACTTGTCGAGTCACTTAAGGTTGAAAAAACTATCTGTGTTCTCTAGTATTTGTTAGGGTAACTTTAAAAGTAGAAATGTAAGATTTTTAATTTACAATTACAGTTGGTTACTGGTCTGACTTTTCAGTTTTGACTAGAATGTTCAGGAATTGGTTTGCTGCAGAGAGTAAGATTTGGAAAGTCATTTTGGTAATCAAAGAAATTTTATAGAGGTAAAAGTACAGGGAGAATTAAGGAACAGTTTTATGGCTTATGTAACTTTACTACAGTTAAATTTTACTTACAGTAACTTATTAGTTAAACAATGTACACGCTAAGATTTCAGAGCACTTTAAAAGCCACCTTGTTGAAAGATACAGAGGATGTTAGGTAGATAGTAGCGGTCACTATTATATGATGGTGATTTTCAAAATAGATGATGAAGTTTCTCATTTTTAAGTAATGAGTAGTTTTCCATTGTGTTAAACCCATCTGCTACATCTAAGCTAAATGTATATCTCATATTTGCATGTTATTGATAAACCAGATATTGGAATAAGAATAGGTTTATGTGAATTCCTCACCATCCCTGGAAAAAGTTTCATTGATGATGATTTAGTCATGTGATCTTAGTACATAATGAATAAAAAGCACTGACATTTTTGTTTGGATTAACTGCAGAGCTTTTAAGCAAAAAACTATTCCCTTTAATCAATTTTTAAACTGGGCTGCAGACGAAATTCTCTTATTCATTGTTTTGTAAAAAGAAGCTACATGTGAAAGGTAAATCATATAAAATTAACCATAAAATATTTTTTTCTTCTCTTTTAGATAACTGTAAACCAAAATTCCACCTGAGAAAATGTTGAAATAGGAGTTGCGAGATACACTGGATTTGCTGGATGAAATACAATTAGTTTTTGTAACGTGGAGCGAAAGCCCAAATTGTCAGATTACATGTGTAAATCACTGCGTTACTGCTTTAGTCATTGTCTCTATTTAGCAATGACAAGACTGGAAGAAGTAAACAGAGAAGTGAACATGCATTCTTCAGTGCGTTATCTTGGCTATTTAGCCAGAATCAATTTATTGGTTGCTATATGCTTAGGTCTTTATGTAAGATGGGAAAAAACAGCAAATTCCTTAATTTTGGTAATTTTTATTCTTGGTCTTTTTGTTCTTGGAATTGCCAGCATACTTTATTATTATTTTTCAATGGAAGTAGCGAGTTTAAGTCTCTCCAATCTTTGGTTTGGATTTTTGCTTGGCCTGCTATGTTTTCTTGATAATTCACTCTTTAAAAATGATGTGAAAGAAGAATCAACCAAATACCTGCTTTTAACTTCCATAGTATTGAGGATATTGTGTGCTTTGGTGGAGAGGATATCTGGTTATGTGCGTCATCGACCTACTTTACTAACTACGGTTGAATTTTTGGAACTTGTTGGTTTTGCCATTGCCAGCACGATTATGTTGGTGGAGAAGTCTATGAGTGTCATTTTACTTGTTGTAGCTTTGGCAATGTTAATCATTGACCTGAGAATGAAATCTTTCCTAGCTATTCCAAACTTAGTTATTTTTGCAGTCTTGTTGTTTTTCTCCTCATTGGAAATGCCTAAAAATCCAGTTGCTTTTGCGTGTTTTTTTATTTGCCTGACAATTGACCCATTCCTGGACATTTATTTTAGTGGACTTTCAGTGACTGAAAGGTGGAAACCTTTTTTGTACCGTGGAAGAATTTGCAGAAGACTTTCTGTCATTTTCACTGGAATGATTGAGCTTACATTTTTTAGTCTCTCAGCATTTAAACTTAGAGACACTCACCTCTGGTATTTTGTAATACCAGGCTTTTCCATTTTTGGAATTTTCTGGATGATTTGTCATATTATTTTCCTTTTAACTCTGTGGGGATTCCATACCAAATTAAATGACTGCCATAAAGTATATTTTACTCACAGAATGGATAACAATAGTCTAGATAGAATCATGGCATCCAAAGGGATGCGTCATTTTTGCTTAATTTCACAGCAATTGGTGTTTTTTAGTCTTCTTGCAACAGCGATTTTGGGAGCAGTTTCCTGGCAGGTAAGTTTACGGTTTTTCTATTATGTCAATGTCTATGATGTGTGATAAAATGCCTGCTTCATGAGTTGAATTGTTACAATTGTAAGATCACATTCCTGATTTGAATAGGACATTCTCTTTTTGGGTGCTTTCTTAATTTTGTTCATGAAATTGAAGTAGTGAATTAACATTAACAGGATAATTTAATTTGATCTCTAGCAAAGAGGCATCAAAAAAGTTAGGAATGCTCATTGTGTTACTTGCGTCCTATGTTATAATTTGTTCATTAATAGAGCACTGGTAAAATAAATATTAGAATATTAACATTGAAGGGTGCTTAGAGATCCTATTTTAATCCTGTGATTTTACATATGAGAAACTGAAAGCCAGAGACAATATATCCAGAGTCATTGGTAATAGTCAGAACCAGGTTATCTGTTTTTTTTTTGTTTGTTTTTAGATTTATTTATTTATTTATGCAAGCACTGGGTACAGTCAGAAGCGCAGGGGGGGGTGAGAGAATTCACCAGAGCCAGAGCTGGGAGCAGAGCAGGCAGAAGGACCGAAGTATACTGCTGAGGGGAGCAGTGGGCGGCAGCAGAGGTCTGCTCGCCATGCTGGACCCTCCTCCGGTGGCCAGGGAACAGCCGGGAATTGAACTGGCGCTGCAGAGGCTGCGGGCAGCTTCGCAACCCAGCACTCAACCACTGCTCCACCGGGGAGGCCCTATCTGTGTTTTTTTAAAGAGGTCCTTTGTAGACTAAGACATTGAAACTTGTATGGTTGGAGTTTATATTAACAAACCCAGTTTTCTCTCTTTCAACATTTATTGACTGTATTATATGACAAATATTGTATGGGATGCTATAGATCTCAAGATGGACAAGAAATGGCTCTGTCCTTAAGGAAGGCACAATCTAATGGGATGCGGAAGAGGCAGACTTGTAAATAAACAGTTATTACAGTGCGACAAATGCTATCATTTGAGTACATCAGGCTGGAATGTAGGGCATAAAAGGAAGCTCAGTTCTGCTTGGTGTACTTTTGCACCAGTTGTTGCAGAGTGACTTCTACATGTGTTTGAAAGGAGCTGTGGAGGCTTGCCTGAGCCTGGCACTCTCTAGTCAGTATGGGTTAAGGCAGGCCAGGGTGTGGCCTGAGGATTTCCTCCTCACTTTACTTGTCAGTGATTGGGACTGTCAGAATGATGATGATGGATGATGTGGCAACACTAGAAAGAATTCTTTCTCCTCCTTCCTTCATCTATGTTGTGTATATCAGTAGTTTTAGTCCTTTGTATTGTAAGCAGTATTCTATTTGTTTATCCATTACTCAGTTGAGAGACATTGAAGTTATTTGGTTTTTGCTAATTACGAATAAAACTGCTGTAAGCATTTTGAGATAGGGCTTTGTGTAATATGTTTTAATTTCACTTGGTGTAAGGTTGCTGGGCCATATGATAAGCTTATGAGTAATATGTTTAACTTTGTAAGAAACTGCCAAACTCTTTTTCAATGTGGGTGAAACATTTTACACTCTCCCCAGCAGAGTGTAAATTTGTGCCATAGACCCACCAGTGCCTAGTGCTGTTTTTATTTTTGAAGCATTCAAATAGGTATATAATAGCAAACTCAGTGTGCATTTTTATTACTTCCCACGCGACTAACAATGTTAAGTATCTTTTCATGTTTGTCACCTTTGGTGAAGTATCTGTTAAGATCTGCTAGACATTTAGAATTGGGTTGTTTTCTTAATGTTGAGTTCTGATAATTATATATTCTAAATTGTAAGAATATTTTCTCCCATTAAATGGCTTATCTTTTCATTCTCAAGATTTTTGAAGAACATTCTTAATTTTGTTATATTCCGATTTATCAGTTTATTTTGGTGAATCATCTTTTGCTATCATATGTAAAAAACCTTTGCCTTACCTCATTTGCATATACTGTGATCCCACAGGGTTATTAGCTTTATTTTTCATCAGTTTTACTGAGTTTAATGCCATTTTCAGAATAAGTCAGTAGTATCATTCCATGTCATTAACATTCAAATACTGGAATTTTACCATTAACATCTCTTGCATTTTGTTCATAATCTCATTCCATCTTGAAAATGTAGTATCGCAGCTGTTGTTTCTTGTAGCATGATGTTCACTGAATGTGCCTACTTGTCTTCCTCTTTTACGCTTGTTTCCTTAAATAAGTCAATAAGAAAGACACATACCATAGCATTTGGTGCTAATTTTACTGCTCAGCTGTGGGCTTTTCTGAAATTATAATTGATAATATACATAAGCATCAAAAGGGAGGAAGGTATGTAGATACTCAAAAAGCATTATCCAGTGATTCTTACAGAGATGCTCTCTGAGATCTTTCAACATGGGATTTTATATGTCTTTCCTTGCCAGCCAGCATCATTTTCAGATTCTGTAAGGGTTTGAGGTAACTCTTTGTAGAAGTTAAACAGAAAAACTAATCACAGTTGATTTCTCTATAGGGAAAGCAATGGCTATCACAGTGTGTGACAGATGTAACAAGATGTAAGGGATGTGGTGATTTTATTTTTAGCAAATGGCAGAATCAGTCACATTACTTCACTTGGCAGGGGGAGCTGGGAGGTTTCAAGTCTACTGCCAAAACAGTAGAACAAAAATTTCATAATTTTGTTTTATTTAATTTTCCTTCCTAAAGTTTTGTGCTGTTTCAGTCTGGGAAGGGGGAGGGGGTGACAGTAACTCTTTTGACTTGAAGGTATGCTTTTAATTTAATGTATTGCTTCTGGCAGAACACTGTGATGTGAATATTATTTTCAGATAGTAAGATATATTTAAGACAATATTATAAGAACTTGACCTTTTTCTCTTTCCCCCAACTAATTTTTAAGTTTTTAAAAACTAAAAGAATTAAAAATAAATAAATTTTAAAAATTGATGAAAGGAGATACCAATCTTTTCCTTTTAATTTTTTTTTTTTTAAAGTAACATTGGTTTATTGCATGTAGCTTTCAGGTATACAGAATTCTATTTTGTCATTTGTATATATTGCATTATAATCACTGCCAGAAGACTTCCATCTGCTACCATAAAATTTACCCCATTTTACCCACCTCTGACTTCCCCACCTCTTCTAATAACTACCATTCTGTTCTCAGAATTTGTGTGTGTTTGCTTTGTTTCTTCATCTTCCACATGTGTGCAATCATACTGTGTTTGTCTCTGTCCATCTGATTTTTTTCAGTTATTTCACTTATACCCTCTGGGTTTTCCATGTTATCACAAATGGAAAGATGTCATCTATTTTTGTAGCTGATTGGTATTCCATTGGGTATATATATATATATACACATCTTCTTTATCCATTTCTTTCAGTGGGCATTTAGGATGTTTCCGTATCTCGGCTATTGTGAATAGCACCATGATGAATATGGGGTTGCATGTATCTTTTTTGAATTTTGTTTGTGTGTGTTCTTCAGATACATAAGTAGAAGTGGAATAGCTGAATCTTATGGTATTTCTATTTTCATTTTTTTAGGAATCCCCATATTGTTTTCTTAGTGGCTATACTGATGTGCATTCCTACAGGTATTCCCTTTTCTCCGCATTCTGCCAACACCTCTCTTGTGTTTTTCATACTGATCATTGAGAAAGGTTCCTGAGCTCAATTCCAATAAATGTGTATGTGGAGGCTTCCCCACATCAATAGGCAATTCTCAGACACCCAGAGTAAGAAAGAATTCAACTCAATTCTGACATGATATCAGATTCCATATGTTAAGGGCTGGGTTTCCCAAGATAGCCCTCCACTTCAGACACCAGTCATAAGCTCAAGCTATTAATGCTTCTGAGAGAGATTCCCCATGACTACCTCCTTAGGTTCAGTTCATTTGGTAGAGGGGCTCACAAAACTTTGAGAAACATTTTACATACTGGATCATTTTTTTTATTATATATTTTTTACACCATCTTTCATTTTTGTATAATGTGTGCATTTTCATCTTGGTTATAGTCCCCGTGAAATTCCCACCACCCATTCACCTGTGAACCATCACCATAGTCCCATGAGCTCGTCCCATCCCTTTGTTTGATCTTACTCCCTTCTCCCCCTCTGTAGAATGTCTCTGGTTTATAGATACCTGTAGATTTTGATTTTTACTTTATTATAATTACTTTTATTTCCCTGATCCCTTATTTGGATCCTCTACATTCCCCTTATAAGTGAAACTATCTGATACTTTTCTTTTTCTTTCTGGCTTATTTCACTGAGCATGATTCCTTTCAGCTCTATCCATATTGCTGCAAATGACATGAGTTTATCTGTTTTGATTGCTGAGTAATATTCCATTTTGTTTATACCACATCCTCTTGATCCAGTCATCTATTTTTGGGCATCTGGGTTGTTTCCATAGCTTACTTATTGTAAATAGTGCTGCAGTAAACATATGGGTGCAGGTGTCCTTTTGGATTAATGTTTTTGTCTCCTTTGGGTAGATACCTAGGAGTAGAATTGCTGGATCATATAGAAGCTCCATTTTTAGCAGATTGCGGAACCTCCACACAGCTTTCCATGTGGTTGGGCCAGTTTGCATTCCCTCCAGCAGTGCAGGAGGGTTCCTTTTTCTCCACATCTTCGCCAGCATTTGTTGTTGCTAGTTTTTTTTAATATGTACCATTCTCACTGATGTAAGATGGTATCTCATTGTGGTTTTAATTTGCATTTCCCTAATTACAAGTAATGTTGAACATTTTTTCATATGCCTGTTGGCCATTTGCATTTCCTCTTTGGAAAAGTTTCTTTTAGCTCTTCTGCCCATTTTTTGACTGGGTTATTTACTTTGTTTTTGTTGAGTCTTGTCAGCTCTTTGTCATACTAGATCATTTGTTTATTATAAAAGGACATAATTCAGGAACAGCCTGATGGAAGAAATACACAGAGCAAAGTATGAGGAAGTGGCATAGAGCTTCCATGTCTTCTCTGGAAATCCCATTCTTCCTAAATTTCCATGTGTTCACCAGCCCAAAGCTT